TAAAGCCTACTCAATTTTTGAGAAAGTTGGTTCATAAATCACATAACAATGTTCATTGGTGTATTATGTAAAATCGTGGAACTATTGTCCCATGGGCACAATGAAATAGCATTATTTATAGATCTTCTGAGAAACAAGATTTAATATTTTTAAAGAATCTCTATTTTTAGAACAATTTCATAGAACATAATGTTGAAGAAAAATTGTTTGACTTTTAACCTAAAATAATTCAGGACAACAAAAAGTACCCAATCATTAACAATATAGAACCTACATGTACAATATGATATATGGTATAATATAATGTATGCCTATGGTAAAAGTACTGTACTGTACACTGTGCCCATGCTCGAATAAGTACCCACCATCCTACTTTTGGGGAATTTATATTTTTGGTTCACGTCTGGCTAAGCACCCATCCCTTCTAAAGTGCTTCAAATTTGACTGTCTAGTCATAAAACATGGACTTCGAGCATTGTTTGATTTTCCCAAATACTGGAAATCAAATTTATATAATACAGCATTGATATCGACCGCTGCGAATATTGTGTGAACAAGTAGACCACAACAACCGCTTCGTAAACTACACTTCGACATGTTACAGCTGTGAACAAAAATGCTAATTACTAATAAAATTCATGCAGTTTTTTGCAGAAATCAATTCCAACAGATCATACTTCGACATTGGTAATTCACTTCCACACTGCGTTACCAGAATGCCTTCGGTAATTCCCAGAATGCTTTGGTGTAACACTACAATCTGATTGGTTAATAACAGACTTGGCCTATCAGGTTAAAGGACGATATTGTAGGTCAAATAGTACAAGAAAAAAACATGGCAAAAATTGATTTGCATCAAGAGTTGCGGACAATCAAAAACATTCAACGAAGATAATGATGAATCCCTTGACTTCTCAAAGACCCTAATAACTTTACACTGTAAATTCTGAGGGTATGTTTATACATGTAATATTGTAATAAAATCATTTCTGTTTCATCATTGTCAAAGTATAGTGGATTATGTAACTCGCAATTTTAATTGCGTGATTTTGTAAAAAGTGGGCATAGTTTCTATAACATGGGCTGGTTCATTTTTGTAACTCAACGTTCACGTAACAATGTTCACAACTCAAACAATTCACCAACTAGTGACAATTTTATTATTTTATATGAGAAATAACTTTATGATGAAATTTGCATAATCTCTCAGCTATGATGCAAAATTTCCACCACTTCTGTTCTGCTGCGCCTTCTATAGAAGTAAATATGCGAAAGAGTAGAATAAATTGTAAACTGCCAACCAATGAGAAGACAACTTTTGATCCAACCTGTTCTACACAACTGTAACGCACACATGACATGATGTCCAGAATTCTTCGCACAAGTGCACCCCTATTTTCTGAGTGTTCCACTCCCGGGTTCCATAAGGTCACTGTATATTGCGGATAATTAAAAGCAATAAATATGCCTCAGAATAGACCAGTCATGATAATTTCGCAGTTGGGCCAGTTCACATTTTGATGAAACCATCACCTAGTCTAATGCATGCTTACTCCTGATGTGTTGTATACCACTGCAGCTTTGAAACTCCATTTTATTTCATCATTTTTCATTTGAATTATTAGCACTGCAGAGTTGCACTCATGATCATTCATGGGGTTTTTAAATAATTACTATAGTATTATTGCTATCAAATATTTTATGTAATAATTTAAATTATTTCATAAAATATTTTAGAGTCAGAATTTTCAGGGAATATGTATTTAAACATTCTATTTTCAAAGATTTGATGCATGAAATTTGAAAATGTTTTAGCTTCCAGTTTGATTAATTGTTCAAATTTCATTTCTTAACATCTTTGAATACAGATGTCCTAACATGTAAAGATTTATAAAAGATTCACCTCAGTTTCAAACTACTGCAGCCATTTTGCAACAAGAATGATATATAACCAAAGAAGATATACACAATATTAATTTAGCTCCATCACAGGAATGTCCAAAGCTGTCTTTAAAATAGGCACCCCACAAACATTTGAGAAAAAGACGCTGAATAAAATCATTTGTCATTTCTAAATAATAATAGACAATTAGGTTAAGTTCAGAAGTGTAAAGATCAAACAGTTATAGATCAATTTTGAGATACAGGGAGGTGGGGGTCAGTAGATACTAAAATCGATAACGATTATACATAAACATAGTGAATTATTAAAACCTTGCCCTTGTTCATTTGAAGGTGTAATAGATGTTAAAAATATTGTTTCTTTATCTATGTGTACGACAAGATGTAATAGTTTTATTAAGCCGATCATTGATGGTTACTGATGAACAAGACTAATGTATGCCAGAAGCATTGATTATAGGAGATTCCATAAAATATTACAAATTGGACCAAGATGAAGGCGAGTGCACAGATAATTAAATAATTATGTTGGTTTGTGGATAATTTTACTTTTTAAAGAAATCAGAAAAATCCCTAGTGAATTATAAATAATTTTTATGGACTAGATACGGCTTTTGCGCCCGAGGTCGTACGGTGCGTAAGCCGCACGATTGAAGGTAGCAAAAGCCGTATCCAGTCCGTAAAGGTTTTATCATATACTTTAGGTGTAATTACAATTTTACCACAGCATGACTTCAAACACACAACATGATTTAAAATTACACATTTTTTTTGATTGATGAAAGTCAAGTATGCTGCACTGATACGGGTAATTATTGCCCTGATGTGAGGGCGTACTTCGCATAGCATTACAAGGCCGGGCAATACAAGGTACATGATAATGAAGAATACTGCCCCTATTAGGTAAACAAGCAGCCTGTCGGCTGAGATAGCTCCGCTGTTAGCGATGCACATTTCAATTAAAGAACAGAAGACATTAGAAAATGAACAATATGTATAGTATCAAAGCAATCGGACTTGCAGTTTTTAACAAGAAGTCGAAAATATCACTTTCTACCAAAAATGACAAAAATATTCACCAAAATTAGAGAATTGAAGATATCATCAGGAAATGAACAAATCTGAGAAAGGTCCACATGTAGTACCTATATATATAATATCAAAGCAATCGGACTTACAGTTTTTAACAAGAAGTCGAAAATATCACTTTTTACCAAAAATGACAAAAATACTCACCAAAATTAGAAAATTGAAGATATCATCACGAAATGAACAAATCTGAGAAAGGTCTACATGTAGTATCTATATATGTAATATCAATGCAATTGAACTTGCGATTTTTAACAAGAAGTCGAAAATATCACTTTTTACCAAAAATGACAAAAATATTCACCAAAATTAGAGAATTAAAGATATCATTACAAAATGAACAAAGCTGAGAGAGGTCCACATGTAGTACCTATATATATAATATCAAAGCAATCGGACTTACAGTTTTTAACAAGAAGTCGAAAATATCACTTTTTTACCAAAAATTACAAAAATATTCACCAAAATTAGAGAATTGAAGATATCATCAAGAAATGAACAAATCTGAGAGAGGTCCACATGTAGTACCTATATATGTAGTATCAAAGCAATTGAACTTGCGATTTTTAACAAGAAGTCGAAAATATCACTTTTTACCAAAAATGACAAAAATATTCACCAAAATTAGAGAATTAAAGATATCATTACAAAATGAACAAATCTGAGAGAGGTCCACATGTAGTACCTATATATGTAATATCAAAGCAATTGCACTTGCGGTTTTTAACAAGAAGTCGAAAATATCACTTTCTACCAAAAATGACAAAAATATTCACCAAAATTAGAGAATTGAAGATATCAACATGAAATGAACAAACCTAAGAGAGGTCTACCCAAGGTACATATACACCAAGTATCAAAGCATTCAGGCTTGTAGTTTTCAAGAAGAAGTCGAAAAAGTAAAACATTGACACGGACGACGACG